GAGTTGACATAGGAGTAGATCTAGGAGTAGGCAGTGGAGAGGACATCGGGGTAGAAAGAGGTTTAATAGACACAGTAGTAGACATAGTAGTAGATACATGGTAGTTGAATTAGGAGTAGACAGAATAATAGACAGAATAGTAGACATAGGAGTAGACATAGTTGTAGACATAGTAGACAAAGTAGGTGCTATGGTAATAGACATAGATACATACATAGTAGAAAAAGTAAAGTAAGGATCAAATACATTGGACGCAATTAAAAGGCCAACCCTGCTTACTTTGTTTAAGTCATTCAAATTAAAACAGCAAAGAAAAGGCAACCAATTGAATTACCTATTCCTATTTTAAGCATAATGGCATCGATATCGCTTCAAAATTAAACCAGAAATAATATTAAATATCGAATTACTTTTGTTTTATTGCTGTACAATTAACTATTACTCATATTTGGTCAACCCATATAATAAAATTATGTGGTATTAGTTCTAGGTGAAATTTAACACTAACGTTTAGTTGTGAGAGTTGACTTGCAAATGTTTTGTGCTGCACTAAATAACAATTAATTAGAGAAATGTTTTCGTTTTTAAATGCGCTTTGTTTTCATTAAAGTCGCAATTGTCACATAACTCTTTGAAGTTACTTCGTTTTTGCTTCTTCCTCTTCTTCTTTTTCTACTGAAAGTGAGCTGGAGAAACTTGATTCAATTACTTAGCGACTGGCAGTGGAAATAAATGGTAGCTTGAGTGCACACGCTGCATTTACTAGTAATTTACTGCTCACATACACGCACACACACTCATGCACACACATAGCATGTGTATGTCTCTAATAAAACACATACCATGGCAGCTTTTGCATACCACTTTGACATTCTCCTTCAGCTCTCGTATGCAGTTTGTCGGCATCATTTTTTTTAAGAGTTGTGGGCGGGAGATGGGTTCGAGTTGTTGGCATAGCCCGCAGCTAAAATGCCATCAAGACTGTGCGAGACAAAAGAGTGTCGCTCTCCTGGCTGCAGCCATTAAAAAACGAAGACAAAAAGAAAAAAATCTAATGAATTAAAATCTGAAATGAATTAGTTTTTCAGCTACAGATTTTATGGCCTTTGGCAGTCTGTCTATGTGTGCGTGTCAGAGAGTGAGAGCGAATGTGTGTGCTAGAAAGGAAGGACATAAATGATGAGTAGAACTGTCATTTTGTACTCTGTGTAATCAAAGGATCAAAGAAAATGCACATGTGACATATATGAGTTTCTGAAAAATATATACAATATATATGCGTAGACTTCTATGAAAATAACATGTAATACTAAGGGTTTAACAATAAAACTCAATACTGCTTAGTATGTTTTACTCAAAATGAATTTAGATTTCTAAGTGCTTTTAAAAATGCTTTAATTCATGAATATCTAGATATCTTTTCCATTCGAAGTAGATATAATACTGTGCAGACAATATTTGTTGCCAATCCTTGGTCAAGTATTTGATACAGGCTTTGAGCGCCATTTTTTTAAGTACCCAAAAGTGGAAGACGAGCCAACTCGTCCAAGCAATGCAGTTCAAATTATATAAAGAAATTTAAATTGAAAAATAATTTTGAATAGCACTGCTTATATATATATATATATATATATATTTATGTATATAAATAATTATTATTTCTTAAGAAATATTCAATTAATATATTCATTGTTCCCACTTGTTAACAATTGATGACATCTTACTTTACAATGATTATAATTAACAACAATAAACACTTTTTTAGTCGTTTTTAACACTCGTAAATTGCAATTTGGCGAAATTTGTAATTGGCTTACGGCGGTTGCTATAAAATATTTAAACTCAATTAACGTGCAATGCATTTAACTGTGCGTATATGTGTTTGTGTGAATCACGCCTAGTCAAATAAATTATCATAACACATACACATACACATTTCCATAATAACTAATAATTATAAATAATATTTAATGTTCATTTTGCTAGTGTTACAACAACAACAACAGCAGCAGCAGCCCCAGCATTTGATAGCTGCACGCACAGTTAACAAATAATCCAGTTCGGTGGCAATTTGTATTGCACGCCCATAGCCCCACCAAACACCAAACACTGTGTAATAATATATTTTTTTAGTTTTGCCTTTTTGCAATACAATTTTAGTCTGATTCGCTATTCTGCAATCTTTGTCAATTTAATGCAAATGTCTAATTAGCGTTAATTAAATGCAAAAAATAAATAAATAAGAAAAGATAAATTACATGAAAAATAGAATTAGAATAGAATAGATTAGACAAAATTAAATCAAAGAAAAATTCAAATCCATTAATGAGGCTAATTTTACCAGAGACAGTACAGGGCAAAGTTTAGTTAGTAGCCTGGTCTTTTATATATCCAGGTATTTTGTCGAATGCTTAGATACTTAAATATTAATATATGTTGCGTCTTCTTAAGTCGATACATCTTCATCAGTTCAATAGCAAACATGTTGTATATGCAACCTTGATACGTGTGGTAGCTTTCCCAGCTTCCGTTAAATTCTACAGAGTCGTCTTGACTCGATGTCGTCACTTCGTCTAGTCTAATCAGGATTCATTCGGATATGCCGAATGGAGAGTTATTGGGCACGATTTCGAACATGTTGCTCGTATGCAACAAGATGCGTTGAATAATTTTTGATATTTTAATTTTATTAATTTATATTATTTAATTTATATTTATTAACTGTAATTTGCACCAATTTAACTAATTTTTATTTAAAGTCAAATGTTTTTCGATGATATAAATCATATTTAATTAAATTTCGACATTTTTACTAGTATTTCTCCTTGAGGAACGAGAATACAAATACAATCTTAAAAACCCTAATACTTCTATACTTCTATAATTCGGAAATATGTTATTTAAAATAGCGTATGATATTTTAACATATTCCACATCAATATTTAAGACTCTAGACAATATTTAATTCTATTAAAAATATTCACCGGTGTTATTCCAATAAGCATGCCAGTCTTCTCGAGGCCTGTACTTGCTGTCCTTCAAGTAACGGCTTTCATCCATTGTGCCCGTGAAACGGAATCGGTAACCAACTTGATGCAATGGATATTTGGGTATCAGATATTCCATGCGTTGATTGCGCAGCAGTGAGCACATTACATACGATCTCCATGTATTGAATTCGACTTGATGGCACTCTTCCGATCTGCCCACGGTATAAATATAAAATCTAAGATCAAACCATACGGGACGCACATTCGCTCGTGTACCTTTTTTCTCATAAGTTACATTGGCGTACATAATACGCTTCAACCAATTTCTCACTCTGGGCGTATTGTAGACCGTCGATCGGTTAAAACATACCGTGCTCAGCGGCGTGCTACAAATTGCGTTACAATATAAATTATATATAGAAAAGTTATCTACGACATTGACTACATACTTGGGATAATACTTAATAATGTGACGGTTATCAATTTTGAAAAAGTCGTTGATGCGACTACGCGCCCTGAGTGGAATATTTGTTATAGCTTGATTTAGTTGTGTATTCGATTTTCGATTTACTTCCTTGAACTGATCATCTGATATCCAAGGATACAGTGGAGTTGGACGAAAAGTTGTGCTTGCACCAGTTCGACCGCTTTGGGTTGATGATGGCAATCCAGGCTTTTGCCAAAAATTCATTTGGTTCGTTATTGTTGTTGAAAAATCTTGCTCCATTTGAGAACGATTCGATCTCTGCACGAAAGCCGCAATATCGGTTTTCTGCTCCCATGTTAACTGAAAAGATGTGAATTCTTTTTATTCATTTAACTATTCATTTTTCTACTACAACTTACGCTAATTATGCTAAGAATGGCTAACAAATCTGCCTTTAGCATTATACAAAAAAGTAAAAAAAAAAGAAGTAACAAAAATCTAAGTAAATTATTTTTGAAACTTAAATGAAAACTAATAAGAAATATCAAATAAAATGATATAATTTATTATAGATATTGAACTATCGCAGTGTTTGATCTGTTCTACCTTGGCTTGATGCCCTGTAATCGAGTTACAAGACAAATGGAGAGGACTAAATATATTCTAGATGGCTTGATTTCGCAGATTAAGTCTATACACAGCCTATGAAAGCCTCCATTCGAGTTGTTTGCTTTTATTAAAAAAATAATCAAAATAAAATGTCTAGGAATGCAATATTTGGGTATTTCTCATATCAAGTTTGCATTGCATACCAGTTAAAAGGTAATTAAATGTATCTGCTCTGATGAGAAAACATCGTTTCATCACGTCTCTCACTCAATTATAAATGTTACATTACATCTGTTTTAGATGCTAATTTTCTACAATTTATGCCTAATAATTCTGGGCCTTTATTCTAGCTGATTAATGTATAAAAGTTAAGATAAGTCTTTAAGTTATTTAAGAACAAAATTTGTGGTATTTGAATCATATTTGATTTATTTATCATGATTCAAATGTCAATGAACTCATGTCTAAACAAATTAGCGACCATAAAATGTGATAAATAAAATATTAAATATTAAATAAATGTCAAACTTTAAATAGTCTAAAATACTCAAAAGAAATATATGCCTGAACGGAACAGAAGGCGAGAGAGCTCACCTGGTTGCTTAGGTCTGATATAATTTTATTACAACTTTAGACGTCACGGACTGGAGCCGTTCATTTTAAGTTTCAGAGTTGTCTGAATTCTTAAGTTAGTGCGCGACCTGTTGTTGTTTTTTTTTTCTTCCTTTCTTAATATTTCTTTCTCCACCAGGAAGGAAATATTTTTGCCTGCTGCACTTTACGTACTCAAGTAGTTTTTAATTTGAATACTTTGCGTACTCTTGAACCCCGTGGGTCGCACAAGGTGAAGTCCTTTCGACCCTTTTTTGTTCAGAACCCTTTTGCTTGTGATTTGCATATTTGTGTGTGCTTTAAATATTAAGAAATACCACAATTATTATTTTTATCTTTAATTTTATTCTTTCTACTTGCAGGCTACGCAAAAGACATTTCCAGAGTTGAAAGAGGTAAGCGAAACAATTATTTTACTCTAAAATCATCTATAATTATATGCAAAATGCTTACGAAATATATTCAAAAGTTTAAGAGAAACTGAAACCGAAAGCGAGAAGGACTTAATATTTATTTGGGGTAATTTTTGAATATCTTAACTACTCTTGGCACATTTCTTTAAGGATCAGCATTTCGAATCATTTATTCAATTAAAAACTTATATAATTTATCCATAACTCAAGCGGCAGCCCGGCGTATCCTCAATAATGTATTCAAATTTGAAAATACATTTGTTCTGTGTCGCATTTCATAAAAATATAAATAAATAAACAATTTTACAAATTGCTTAGAACTCTTATTTAAATTAACATAATTCACATTATACAGCAAAAAACAGTAAAAAAATCATTGAAAATAGATACACATTTCCTAATGTCTGCCAAAAATAACACAACAAAAAATGTTGTGTGCATTGCGTTTGGGCCATAAACTAGTAAAAAAGCCGAAAGACCGCCAAATGTTAGCCAGAAAAAAACTCCATGTGCAGCTTTTTACTGCGCTCTAGGACCATTCACACGCCGGCACTTCTCTAACCAAAACTACGAGTGCTCCCCATTGTGCAATTTATTACGCGTATGTGCCGACAAAAATTTGAGACGAAAAAATTGTGCACAGTGCAACAATTATTAATCTTGACCTTTTTGATATGCAAAAAATATTAAAAAATATTTATAAAGAAAAAAATATTTAAAAACGATATAATATTTAATTTTAAAATATATTTATTATATTATATTATAATAAAATATATTATATATTATAAAATATATTATATATTATAAAATATATTATTTATTATTTAAAAGAGACATAATTATTCATTCTTAGTATTTCTTAAATAATAAAAAAAATTCATACAAAAATAAAACTTCTTTATTTATTTTATTTTATTACTTATATTTATTATTATAAATTATTTTTTGTATATATTATTTATTAATAGTTTTGTTCGATTTATAATTATTTTTTAACATTTTTCCATTTTGTTTTATTTTTTTTTAACTTAATTTTTGATGTTTATTAAAAATTTTTGAAATTATTCTTAAGAATTAGTTTGTTCCACTGTGCTTGTTTTAGGGCCAACTTTGCAATCGTCTGAGTCAGTTTTAAGTCCCGCTAGTCCATGCAGGTTGCGCTGTCGACTTGTTGTCTGTCTGCTGTCTGGCTGGTTGCAATGGCATGGATTAAAGGAGTTGCTGGCGCGCATGCAAATGCTGGGCGTGGCATACACACACACTTACACTAAGCTACACAAGTGTGGCTTTTGGCTGGTGTTTGTTTTTAATATTTTTTTTTTTTGCAATTTTATGATTTGCTGTCGCGTCGCCTGCTCGCCAGACTTTGAGTAGCTGCTGCCGCTGCTATTGGCGAAATCAATGAAGATGTTAGCTGAAACACAAACTGGCACAAGTCGGGCACAGTCTCTTGCCGTCTGCCTAACCGCCCTAGCTTGGCTGCACATTGTCATTATTTATTGAAAATATAGTTTGATGAGTTTTTACTTGGCTCAGCGCGCTAAACATTGAACTGGTTTAACACTGGCCATGCCCACAGCCCTCAACTCTTAACTTAGCTTCGTTTACAATGCCAGCAGCAGCTGCTGTTCGTTTGATATTTGTTGTTCCTGTCCCGTTGCGGTCAATGTAATGGTTTTTGCGGGCTGCTACTGTTGAAAATTGGTTAAATCGGAAAACTTTTTGCCCGCCCCCGCTCTTGTCAGCAAAACTATGTGGGCATTGTCCCAACGAATTCGACGAAATTGCCTGCATTTTCCTAAGTTGGTTTATTTTCGTTGATTTTCGAAGCTGTCGCATCTTAACTACATTTTCTACGTTTTCATTTCTCTAGATTTGAAGGCACAAATTTGCAAATCATTATATGAAAAATAAGTATAGGAAATATAACAAAATACGAAAAATACAATACATACAATATAAATAAAGTAAATAAATGAAGAATAAAAAATGCATACATACATAGATAAATAAAAAACAATGAGAATTAATAAATAAGTAATAAATAAATAAAAAATAGTTTTTATTATATTTTTATACTCTCTGTACTCTTACAATATTCAATTTTATTTAGAGTTTGTATTTATTTTTTAATATTTTATCATTTCTACATTTTTTTTATACATTTCAAGCTTTGTACATAGATCCATGCGTAAGATCATCATTGCATAAGCACTTTCGCCCATTCCATTTGAGTAGTTTTAGCACATGATAGTAAGGGAGCAGCGGACCGCAAATTTTTCTGAAGCGTTCCATGATTTTGCCGTGCTATGCTCCTAACACGAAAAAAAAAAACTCGACGGCTGCGATATATGTTGCTGAGCCGAGGCTGAAAGTGGTTTTGCCCTTTGGCAGCATCACAACAAGTTGGCCAACTGCAGCATAACCATGTCTCGCTGTGTTTATGTCTTGTTGCTGTCTTTTTGCATGGGGCGAAAAGTATCTCGACAAACGTAAAAAATGTTTCCACTGATTGCGTGGGCGTAGACGGGCAATGCTATTAACTGGTCGCGGTATCATAGAGCCCTCCTTTTGGCCCACCAACTTCGAGTACCAATAGTCTGCACTTTACTCTTTTCTTTCTTTTTTTATGTTCATTTTCTCTCTGTTTTATGGTACATATATCAGTGCTTGTACCGCTTCAGGGCATACGAATTCACTCCATACTCCTTTTTTATTTTATTTTTTTGCCGTCTATCGCCTATAATCGCATCAGCTGTAGATTTGTAATATGAAGCGGAAGAAATGATTACAGTCCTGTCACAGCCCACAGATAAATGAAAGTCATTCGGATGCGATTGCCAGAGAAATTCATTGGTAAGAAGCGGTATTATGAGCAACCCTAACCCGAAGCATAGACAGTTAAGCTTTTCATGCTAATAGAGTATATAAATTGCAGGTATTGAGTGTCCTAGACAACGGAAAGTCGGTTTAATAAAAGTCAATTTCTTTATTAAATAAAATAGAATTGAGAGTTGGAATTAGATATACAAATTTATTAGAGAGAGACGGCGTTAGATATAGAGAAAGCGAAAGAAAGATAAAGAGAAAATTTTAGGAGAGAGAAAGTGAGATAGACGGAAAGAGAGAGAGGTGGAGAAAATGAGAAGGACAGAGAAAATGAGAATGAGCAGGCGAGACAGAGAATATGAGTATGCGAGAGAGAGAGGAAGAACAAATGTGCAAGCGAGAAAGAGACAGATAAGGCAAGGAAAACTGGGAAATAAAGATAGAGATCAAGAGAAAGAAAAAAGGTGAGAAATGAAAAGGAGAGAACGGACTGAGAGAAAAAGAGAGAGAAAATTAAATGGAGAAGGATAAGGACGAACAAAGTAAAAAGGACATGGGTTAAATTAAAAGAAAAATTGGGTATGAGGAAAAAATTTACGGAGACAAAATGAGCGAGATAGGGAGATAGGTAGATAGAAAGCGTGAAAAAGAAATGGATAGAGAGAGAGAAAGAAAGATAGATTGAATGGAAAAAGAAGAGAGAGAAAAAAAATGAGACACACAAAAAAATGGAAGAGAGTCGTAAGAGGTAGAGACAGATGGCAAAGGACAGAGAAAATGGGTGGTTTGAAAATAGAAAATAGAAAAGTTTGATAGAAAAAAATTACAAAGGAGAGCCAATGAGAATGAGAGAGAGAGATTGTATGTGTGATAGAGAGGTGGAGATATAGCGAACTAAGGCTAAGTAATGAATTAGCAGCTAGGTAGTCTCACATATTAAGAGGACTTTATGAAAAAACATTTTTATACAAATAAAGCCAGAGACATCAAAACGGAGATAACAACAATCAATATTGAGCTTAATATAGCTGCAAAGAAAAAGAGAAACTCACCATGATATCAAACAGTTTACTAAGAGAGATCGAGAGTGAGTTAAAAAATGAATATATTAAAATGCGAAATGCGACATTCGAAATGAGAGTGCACAAATGCGAGAGTTAAGATTAAAACAACACCTGCAAAAGGGCTGTTCTGATACTCAGAACAACAGCTTATAGAGTGTGTTCAGATGATTGTTAAGCACTCAAATATATATGGGCTGGGTCGAGCTTGAACAACGTTTTCTATGCAAATTGTTAAAATCTTATGTCACGCTGGAGTTTCGAGACTGCAAACGTAAGAACATCATCATTGCATCAATGTTTGTCATCATGATGCAGCAGAAATGCCAGGGAAAAACTTTGCGCTGCTCTAAACTGTTCTGTGTGTGTGTGTAGGTGGCTGGCGGAGTATGTGTGTGTGTGTGCGTGAGTGGGTGGGTGTTTATAGGTTAGAGTTTGTACTTTTAACGCCCAAACAGATTTGCCCGTATCAGTGGCAAAGCAGACGCTGTGGCTAGCACGAATTGGTCGATACGGGGCTTGAGGGCGCTATGCAGAGCTGCCATTTAGCCACGTTTTGTTTGTCTTTTAAGCGCATCTTGTGCTTTGCAGTTGTCTGTGTATATATATAGATATAGCTATATATATATATATATATATATTAGAAGCAATTTCTATGTACATTCTACGCTCATTTATGCTGTCTGATAGCCTTGGGGCATATTCATATCCGTTGTCTTTTTAGCTAACTGCAACGGCGACTTGAATTTGAAAATTATGCTGCACTTTGTTTACTGATAAACTTGATTATACTAAGCGAGAGTCCTGCTATGTTTGTCAATGTCTGGAGATAAAGCAAAGTCTGTTTTCTATATACACACATATATTTTCTGTTTGGCTCTTTTGTCATTGATTGCCGTCTAGAATCTTTATTCGTTTTGGTCTGTATCTCACCTTAATGGTTTTCTATTGAAATACTTTTCCTTCCTTCTTTTTTTCACCTTTTCAATTCAGTTTTTATTACGCTTTATTGTTGGCAGCAGTCTATTCTTATATTTGCTAATTGTTTTGTATTTTCCGGTTTGGCTCTTTCCATTGCTTTTAATTTATTAAGACTAGGCTTACAACTTGAATTGTGGTAATAAATTGTAAGACTATAAAAGTATAAAAAATATGACAAACAATTGAAAAAAACTTTTACCTAACTCAGCTAGAAATTAGTATATAATGTTAAGTAAAAGTGTTGAGGATAGTTAAAATATTATAAATTAATATTAAAGCACTAAGCAAACATATTGAATGATCACACGCCTCTTTATAGTTACTAAAAAATTAGCTTATCCACACTTATCCCTTTTTCGCCTGGCAATCTCTGGCGAATTGCATCTTAAAGTTTTCTTTCCGAATTATGCATTGTCATCCGGGGTTAATAACATGCAACGTAGTGCAACGAACATCGAACGCTTCAGCGGACCGAAACACCGCAACACGAACAACGAACATTAAACTAAATGAAATTTAATTAAAAATAACAAAGAAATTTATCAAAAATGTAATTAAACTTATGCTTAATTATATTGGACTAAACAATAAAAAATAAATATATATAAAAAATGAACATGAAAATTAAAAATTAAAAAATATAAACAAAATAATTTAACAAAGTCATGAAACACAATGAAATTCAACAATTAACAAATAAAAACACAAACATAAAAAATTTAAAAATACTAATTTAATTAATAATAAAAGAAATAACTTTTATAAAAATACAAATATATTAAGAAAGGAAATGTTTAGCTGTTAAGAAACTTGTGTTATATTATATATATTAATTATTTAAACTTTTATATTTGTTCACTCGCTTAGAAGATAATCTTATATATTCAGAAGAATGAATATAAATATGACATAAGGCTACGAATGATGAATAATCAACAACATGTGAACCCTACATATATATATATATATATATATATATATATATATATATATATAGCATTGAAAATATATAACAAATAAACAAAGTCAAGGCTTATCAGTTTGTGATTTCAATGACACACATACCCTGTTTAAATAGGAATATGAGTATATATACATTGTTTTTTAATAAATGGAAATATTTATACAAAGCTGACGAAGAAATGAACGCAAAGCCATCAAATTTAACTATCTTTTACATTGCTTCAATTTTTTTTTTATTTGCTTAACTTTAATGAAAACCATATGTTTCAATTTATATTTGCAAAGCAAGAACTGTATATAAAAATAAAGTAATATATCTTTAAACAGACTTCGGTCTGATCATCATTTGTGTATATCGTAGCGGTTTCGTATGCCAACTATTCCACACAATTTTATTCCTATTCTCCGATGTGTAGAGTCCATTAAGATTGCTGAAACGGTTAGGAAATCAAACAAATTACACAACTGTAAACTTTTATCTTACTTACCAGTAACCACAATCAATAAACCACCATCCTGCCTCGAAGCTGGTTCCACAGTTGCCATCATTAAAATCATTATCCATATCTGGTGTTGAAAATTTTATACCTATATGATGCTTTAGGGAATCGACAGTATTTCCAGTAAAGTCTCCAATCATTTTAATGGCATACGCCTCAGATTCGTTGCCAATAGCAAAATTGCTATAGTGTGCATAACTGCCGTCGCCTTCAAAGTCCACCATATATATGTATAGCTCATGGGGCTGTGAGTGCGTCAACAAGTGGATCTTTTCCAGTCCGAGAAAATGTTCGCCTTGCGGATCTCCAAAACCATTTTTATACTCCTGCCAGCTTCTGTTAAAGCTGAGAGTTCCGTTAATACGACGTTGTATGACAATCCAGCCACAGCCAGCTGACTGCGTATCACAGTAAACAGAAAAGGGTTCCATATCGGGAACTCTTATGACATATACCCCCTCTCGTTTACCTTGACAGATCGAGACTATGGACATTGCCTTACACACTGACAGTTTAAGGTCCAATTGCTTTGTATTGTCAATAATCAATTCATTATCTTTGTGCTGAGTACGTAAGCTCTTTAGCTCTTCATCTTTATCATTCATTTTGGCGAGCAGTTCGGCTATAAGAAGATCCTTAAAATGTACTTGATTTCCTCGAAATTCAATATTTTTCTTATATGAGGAGCTTAATTCGACTTGTTGTTTAAGTTGAAAATCCTTTTGACTGATGGTTTCTCTCAAGCTATCTAAATTCGCTTCTTGTGTGCGAATCGTATTTTGTAACGCTTCGAATTGCTCTTCCTTTGACTTTATGGATCTTGCATAGTCAAGAAGTGGTTTAACCACTTGATAGCAGTACGATCCACACTTGGCATCGTTTTCCCTGGAAGCTTTTGAGCACTGTGGAAAAGCTTTGGTTTACATTTAAGTGACTTCAAATTAAGCTTGTGTAAACCAACCGTGTTATATGTCACTGAATCAGTTGCTTTAATAACTAAAGGCAACAAGAGAATTAGCAATTGTTTAAGAAATAAATTCATTTTGTATTAAATATTTTGAAACTGTTGCACTGCGAGACAGATTTGCCACTGATTCAGAGTTGTTATTAAATCAAATAAATAAAGTTGATTAGACTTTTTTATTAGATTTTAATCAGTATGTATATTTTAATCGATTTTATATATTATATATTTTATGCAATCAGCTTATTGCTGTTCTCTATGGCAATTAAAATATACCAAATAAAATAAATATTAATATTTATTATAAAAATAAAGAATATATTGCAATTATTTATTAATTCTGCGAATCGAGTGATTATGAATTCTAAAAATTCGTTATTATTTTTTAAATATAATATATATATATATATTATGTTTTCATTTCCATTCCTTGCTAATCTGTCTTTATTTATGTTGAGCTGAGTATATAATATATAATTTATTTTATTTATTTGTTGTTATTTTGTTTTTGTCGGAGTTTCTCTTTGATAATTACGCTGCACACATAAGTTTTGCGTGTGAGCGTTTGTGCTTCTGTTGTGCGTGTGTGGGCGTGGCTTTTGCTCGTAATGTTTATATTAGCAGCTTGTGTGATAATTCTTAGGGGCAGGGTCGTGTGAGCCCCGAACCACCCTCTCGGATATGAGATCTTTTGTAATGAAAGCAACATAATTACCCAAGCTCAGCAATATCTTTGCTTGCCTTAATGTTGAATTGTGCGTGAAATGAGTTTGCGTTTAGAGCTGGGCGTGAGTCGGACAGATGAGGAAATATGGAAAATAAAAAAAAATAAACATTTTATCAAATATTAATGTATTTCTGTAGTTATTAAAAAAGTATATAAAATTTAATTTCAGAAATGTTTATATATTTGGAGAAAATATATATATATATATATGTTAATATATACATATTTTTATTTTAAATATAAATATTTTTATTATACATATTTTTACCCTTCTCACTTATTGTAATTTTTAATTTTGAAACATTTTGCTTTTTTAAATTCTATTGCTTTTTAACTAATTTTAAATTGTTTTATTATCCATCGGAGTCAACTATTTGATTTGTCAATTCATTTTTTATTCATTTAATTTTGGTTTATTTAGTATTTCGGCTTTTATTTTTTTGTTGCCAATGCAATTTGTCTTGCAAAGCCAATGAAAATTGGAAATGAAAACCCGAAATGAAAACACCCACAAAAGTCACGTTAATGCCTCGGCAATTTCCAATTTGTGTTTCGAATTCGTAGAATTCCATTTTTTTATAGCTTTTCTTTTGCCTTTTTTTCCCGTTTTTATTTTGCCTGACAACTAGCGCAAAATGTTGTCGCCAAATGCAATCAAAAGCTAAAAATCTATTATTCAAGATACCCTCCATTGTTTTTCCTGATGTGTATATATATATATATATATATATTTACGGTCACCCCAAACATTTACAGTTATATGCACGTAAATATTTATATATCTGAAAATCCGAAAATAAAAATTTTAATTTGCATACGATAGTAAAACGATAGATACATTCTATATGTTTACTAAAAATATTTGTTGAAAAATTAGAAACATTTATTTGATTGTGAATTCAGAGCAAATAAAATATTCGTAAAGCAATATATTAGCTAGCAGCTCACAATATTAAATAAATAAATATAAATTTATTAATAAATATTAAAAAATATATAAGAAATAAATACACAGTGCAAGCAGTATAGTTAAATCAATAAGACCAACCCGAAGTTTTCTTGTAGCGCAACGCAACAAATTTCTCAACGCCTTTGTAAGTTGCAGAAGTGTTGCTGTTGCGGTAGAGTAGGGGCAGGGCAAGAGCGATGGCTTAGGAAGAAGGGGTCAGAATACTCAAAGTGTCAGATGTAGGAGTCAAGGATTTCTTTTTAAATACGCGCTCGCAGATTAAAAAGGGTATATTGGCTAGAAATATGAAACTTTAGACTAATCAAATATTCAGTTTACATGTCTCTGATGAGATGCTATAAAATGGGCCAATATATTTTAATGTCTATATGCATGCATCTATACAAGCATCTGTGTATTCAAACTTATATCATTGTGTCTAAACATATATCTATCCAACAAATCTTTAATATAATTTTGTTCTCAGATAGTATGATGTTCATATATTGCTGTCATACACATATATTTTTAAGCATTGCTTATGCTCTTACTGCACTCTGCGCGAGTATTAATCAGTTGGTATTGCATATTTTTGTTATATATTTCTTTTTTTTTGAATACTTTTCGTTCAGTATTCTTGTAGCTTCGCTCTTTGTCATTTCTCGACGACGACGGGTATGAATCGTTTGCTGCCAGTTGTGACAACAACTGAAATTGGAAAAAGGCGAGCGAAATGAAGTCTGAAACATGAAATAAAGATGAAGCGACTGTGTCGAACAGTTGAATCATCAGAGTCGCCACCAGAATTGAGACATGGCAACATGTTAGAGGAGCACTGCTTGGGGGGTTTCTTTTTGTTTTTCTTCATTTTCATGTTCCTTTATTCTGCTGCTTCTTTTTTTAAGTAAGCGTATAGGAGAAATTAAAATTTGTTTGTCTGTTTGGATTGGAAGTTTTCGATATGCGGATTTCTGTTTTGTCATATGCGCAGCAAAGCAATTACACTGTGCAAAACGACATGTCTATTAGTAAATAAATATTAATAAAATATTTAAAACAAAAAATTAATATTAATTTATCAAAAAAAATATTATTAAAAGACTATACTAAAATATATTATAAAATGTTAATAAAAACAAATAAAATAAAAAATAAAAATATTAAAAAAATATGAAAGAACTAAATTTAAATATATTTTAATAAAATGTTATACAAAAAATATATTATTAAGCAAATATTATTTTTGTGAATCTTGTTATTTTTTGTTATAATTAATTAACTGCTTTTTTTTATTATTTGCCTTGAGTATTAATTATTTATGGTTTGTATTTTTAAATAATTAGAACTGTTTATTAATTGGTAATGTGTTCTTAAATTTCTTTCTTTTTATTTTATTTTCTATTATATAATTTTTTATCATACCATGATTAATTTTTATCCCTTCACTATTTGCTTTTATTGTCATTGCTCCAATTACTTGCAGTGCAGTGCAGTGCAGACACAGTAAGTCTTTATGACTTATCTCCCGCTGTGTTGTTGTCTTTAGCTAGTCTACTGCCAACGGCCTACTGTTGCTGTTGCAGCCAACTATTTGTCTCCTTCAATTCGTAATCATTTAAATTGATTTTTCTTGTCTTTGACGTCGTTCAACCTTCCAATCAACTCAAAGCCATTGAGCCAGGCTCGCTCTCTCTCTCTCTCTCTTTGCATCGTCTTAATTGATGAATTTCTGGCTGTCGACTGCTGCAGCTGGCTGAGATAGCTATCTCAGCCAATATATCTACGCTCGCCCACACAGCAGCAGCATCTACATTTCATGCTGGCTCTATTTCTAAAATTTCTTATCTGTATTTTTGCTTCTTCGTTTTTCTTTTGTTTTTTCCTTCCTTTTTTATTAGCAATTGACCCAAACTTGTCCTTCAGTTTGTGGCCATTGAACTTTGACTTGGTCGTTAAATCGAGTCGAGTCGAGTCGAGGATGCAAATAAATGCGTAGCTCACCTGCAGAAACCTGCCGCAATTTCAGTTGCAGCAGATTCAAAGCAATTACCTAAATAAAAATCATTATTAGTATTGCATGTCACACAAGGCGAAGAGCACAGAGAGAAAGGGCGTTCGTCTGGTCTGATTGCCCTCGAGCCCTCTATAATTGAGATTGATGCAATTGCATATAAAATTCATATGAATTACTTGAGACTTTGGCTGCCCGAGTACTGCGCACGATGAACACAGACAAGCACACATACAGCTGCGAGTCTGTTTGCATTTTCGGTTAACCCTAACCGGTTTGTGCCGTTGCAATTGAGCCCAAATGACTCATAAACAGACTGAACAGGCCAGCACTCAGATTGAAACAATCACAGGGTGGACCTTGTGTATGTATCCTTAAATTATTTTGATTTTTAATACTCGTTGGCTCTCCACAAGGTAAATAATTTTAATTGTATTAAATTAAGTTCTTAAAATAATTTATATTAAATATAATAATTAACATTTTATTTTAATTTTTGATGTAAAAGTATGAGCTGAATTAGAAAAGTCAAAATATGAATTATATTCCTCATTCCATTTTCCTTTTGTATAACAAGGTCCACTCTAAAATTGAAGCCGCATTGGGCTCAGCGTCAGTTCAAACAACGTCAGCTGCATTTGATTAGAGACAGCTATATATTTCTGGATGTTCACACATACGTTCATATGTGTGTAAATATAGATGCGAGTGTGTGTATAGAAAAATGCGTGATATTTATGTATGGCAAAGCGAAATGACATTTGAAACATGTGTCAAGTTCCACTGCACTTGTTCAGCCCCAACTCGAGTAGCACATGCATATGTATGGCATATGTCTTCTATGTGCAAGTGTGTGTTTATGTGAATATTGTGAAATTGCGGACTTGAATTTTGTTTCTATGTGTGTGCAATCGCATGGCCATCATTTGGCTTCCTTTTGGCAGCTGAGCGCAGCTGAGGCAACTCATGAAACGTGTTTGTTGATAAACACGACCATGAATCATTTCTCCACCCCCTTTCCTAGAGTCCGCTCTTCCTCAAAGCTTTTGTTTCGCTTGATTTGCATATACATATGTATGTATGCATGTCTGAATGTTTGTGTTCTACACTACTTTGCTTACTGTCGTGTTTCTTCTTGTTGCTCTTTTTATGATTTGTTTGTGATTTTCACGCCTCGTTTGCGCCTGTTCGCTTTTGAGCTTTGCTTCACTGAAGCAAACACACATGCACTTGCTCGCTCTCTAATTTGTGCTCGTGCCTTACACTCTCAGCTTCGCTCACGCTCTCACTTAAGTTGTTACTCACACTCTCAAGCTATTACTCACACTCCCACTCATTTCTTACTCACGCATTTACTCTCTCGTTCTTACGCTTTCTCCCTCATTTCTTGTTTTCTTTTTTGCATGTTTAGTGCTATGGCTGTTGCT